GCCGCCAGTTCCAGTGGAATTGCCCGACGAACTCGAGGGCGCTGTGGGTGGTGCAGTGTCTGTGGAAGTGTCTGTCGCGGAAGTGGAGGCAGAGCTGCCCATGGATCCACCCATCAATTTGAGTGATAATGAGACTGAGACAACCAGCAGTCAAAATAACCCTCATTGCCCTGCCAACAGCAGCAGCAGCAGCAGCAGCCAGAATAATGTGAATGAAAATCACGACTAAGATCGGTTATAGTTTAATTTGTTTTTTAAGAGCAGCTTTTAATTTTCTAATTTTAATTCTGTGTTCATTTTAGTGTCAGTCAAAAAGATTTCCACAACGCTGCTCCTCTCCTCAAAATTGGATCTCAAAAAATAAAAAAAATAATCAAAATCGAATCGCGACCAAAAAAAAACCGATCAAATTCGAATTCAAATTTTAAAAATTTTATAAAATATTTATACTTAAGATGAGAAGTCAAAACTTTCACATGGTAGAATTTGATAGCATTACGTACATAAGGAGCAACATTTTGTGTAACCAGCCAAAGCTCAAGAAACGAATAGTTTGTAGTTCAATGAAGAATTTGTTGTGTCATAAGCGCCATATCAAGCACACACACACACACACACTCACAATATACATAAATACGTACATACATACCCAATAAGCAATATGCATTTGATAAATGATTTAATTATAATTTAAAAAGTTCCAAAAAACATGTTCCACTGCCTACACGAATTTCCATTAGTCTCCACTTCCTTTTGGTTAGGTTCCGGCCTTCCTCAAATCATACAAAAAACTCCACTAGAAATCCTATACGTTTAAGTCAATTAGAATTACAGGTATTATTTACATGCATATATAGTAGCACTTATACAACCGCATATAGAATAGAATACATACTCCCATATATGATTATAGTAACCATACTTACATGTGTATTGAGTTTAACTAATTCATAATAAAACTAGTTCAAACCAAATCTCTCTCTGTATTTCTGGAAGATTTTTCTTTTTATTTTAACAAACTATTATAAAATTGCATGTTTCGTTCTCATTGCTTGTTTGTTTTTGCTTTGTTTTGTTCATATACACAGATAGCACATTAAATATCAATATCATTAATATTATTAAATTAAAAAATACAAATATCTGCTTGTAAGAGGATAGAGATACTGGTACACATCTTTGTTTTTTCCCTTCATCAAATAGTTTTTTCCAATCGGATATGTTCTCGCTATATGCTCTCTCTCTCTCTCTCTCGTATACCCAAAAAAGCATCAAAATCGAAGAGCGCTAATTGAATTTATACGAGTATATCGAGGGTATCTATGGTATACGTATATATCTTTATAATTTTGAGTGAACATTTCGTTCGTTTATGTTTTGTGTGTTCGTTTCTAAGTCGAATATTTATTGTTTATATAGTTTTCTTGGTTTTTTGTTGTGTGTTTGCAATTTCTCGCTATGTCTACAAGCTTCGTTTAAATTGCTGATAAGTTCTTTAGGATTAGGTATAGTATATTTGTTGCCGTATCTTCTGCTGTTCTTTCTGGTTTTGCTGTTGTAGTATACTTCGTTTCACCGCCTCGTTCAATGCTAAACTTAAAATGTACACAAGAAACTATGAACTAAACTAGAGAAATGCTTTTAAAAAATTAGCCCAGAACTATACAAAAACGCTTTAAGCGCCACCCTCTTCACAGATCTCACGCGAAAAAAATTATATTTTAACTTTATGTATGTAAAACCCATATCAAACTTCCCCACGGCCTGAATTCTCCTACGAGTAGGTCTCTACTTGGGCAACTCATAGATCTGGACGGGCAACGCTTTTGGCGTAATGATCTCATCCTCAAAGTCCTCGTCATCGCCATGGATGGCATAGTCGCCGCCATTGCGTTCACTCTCGAACTCATTGGGCACAATCTCCACATCGCTGGGACGAGAAGTGCTGCGCGATCCTCCGCCAGAGTCGCCGCCATTTCGATTCGATCTCGTCTTGGTCGACTTGCTGATGAAGTCGCGGAGTATGTGCGAGTACAGGATGTCATCCAGATAGTACATGGTGCCCAGGTTGTACACGAATACCTCACTCTCCGTTATCTGGGCATTGTTGACGCCCGTATAGTTGCTGCCCGGATTCCGTGTGATCTTTATGTGACCGCCGCCGATCGTTTCGTAGACCTCATTATCGCGCAGATCACGGTTGTAAAGACGGCCGCGAACAAAGTGATTTAAGAGCATTTTTATTCCACGTTGAGAGGCCTAGAAAGTGGAAGGTTTAAATACTTATTGTATGCTCAAATTCGTTGTTAAAGACTTACCATAACCTCATCCGACAGACGATCGAAACCAAGCTTCTCAAAGGCCCGATCCTCGGGCACAAAGAAAGTGTAATTGGCTCCTGAGATATGTGGAGCAATCTCTGCGTTGTTGAGATATCTTTGGGGGGGGGGATTGAATAGAAGACATAGCCCAGCATATCTCAAATAATAATCCAACAATTCCTTACCTAGTAATCTGTGTGAAGCGTGGATCTCTTTCCAGGGCCAAAAACGAATGCGACAAAAACTGTGCGCCAAACCAGGGGAATGCCAGCAGCGGCGGAGTCTCCTTGTCCTTGTGCATCTGCAGATGGAATCACATTAGACAAGACTTTGGATAAGCCATAACCGGGGGGGTGTTACCTGGTGCAATTTGGAGACGACAGCCTCGGTGACAAAGAGCACCTCCGATATAATGAACACCTGATTGCCATTGGAGAGGGTGAAGTCGGACATAATGCTGACATTATTCACCGTGGGGGTGGCTATTCCAAGGAGCAGAGAACATTGTCGTAAATTGAATATGGAATATAATTTATGGGGGACACTTACGTTGGCCATGGAAGACAACATCGTCACCGCCCATGGTGTGAACGACGACCTCGTCCATGTTCCTCACATCCGAGAGTCGGAGGGGCCGCTGCATGGGCAGGAAGTGATTGAGCAGCACCGACTCGGTGAACTCTGGCACACTGAACGGATAGAAGCCCCAATCGATGGGATGCCAACGCTGGAAGGCATTGTCCGAGGGTATCAGCACCGTATAGGCATTGTCATCCATTGTGCGTGTCAGATTGCTTTTCGATAGAAAGTGTTGGAACACTTTTGTGCCTGTCTTCATGTTGGCCAAAAACGACATCAGCGGACTGGCCTTCGACTCCTTAATAATGGGCTCCACTTTGGCATGTGCATTCGTAATGTTTGGCTGTTCCAGTGGCTGCGGGTCATTGTAGCGGCTATAAGGGGGGTGGGGGATGGTCATAGATAGACGTATATACAAATGGGATATATATATATATGAAAAGCAGATGCGGAAAAGGAAAATCTAAATGTGTGTGTGCAGGAAAGTTGGACCAGCAAAAACTTTGTTTGCGGCCTGATAAATTTCGCATGAGTGCACTTTTGACCGCAAACAAACTAGGACTAGGATGAACTTAGCACTCGCTAGATAGGAACGCACAGTGGTGCGAGATAAGCCCATTCGGTGGTCAAACTATTAAAGACTTTTGTAGGATTCATCATAAGCTATTTATTTATTAACTAAATACATATTCAACTGACTGTCAAACTATCTACAAACTAATTGAGTTATCAATCTCACTAATTGCCTCCAAAACAAAGATATATACGAGTATATTTGTATGGTAATGGGAGATATTTAACTGATTAGCAACCACCAATTTGTATGGCCACCAAAATGCTCCTTATCAAACATGTCCATCTTGAATGAAAAGTTTTTCAAGTCACTGCGCTTTAAGGTGTTTATGGGTGGGACTTGTCCCACTGTAGCATAACGAAGGGCTCTACTCACTTGTTCGTTTCCTGTATGTTCCGCTTGGAGTAGGGCGACTTTCGATCGCCCAAATAACCATCAATTCCGATGGCCATCAAATTCTCATTGATACGCAGCTTGTAGAGTATTTGCTGTCCATTGAGTAGCCAAACATTGTTGTGGGATTTTTCCAATTTACGAAAAACGATTTTATGTCCGTTCCCATTGCCGTAGGACTCCTCCTCTTCCTTGCTATTGGCCACACCGCTGTAGCTGTCAAAGAGTTTCCCAGGCACCAAATGCTCCAACATGAACTCCTTCAATCGCGGCTTCTCGATGGTCCGCACATCGATTTTGGGCACAATCAAGGTATAGGGAATGTCTGCAATTGGAATCGGGGCCAGGTAGAGGTACATAAAGATGTATAGAAGAGATGGTTAGATGGAGAGAGTTACTTTGGGAATTGCTCACTTAAAAATGTAAACTGTTTTCGTTTCATTTACGGCTAGTGCCACCCCCCTGAGTCCCCCACCTGTCTGCATGCTAATCAAGTAATTAACTTTCGGCTGTGCTCTGCTCGGGGTGTTTGCTTTTGCTTCTCTTTTTTGTGGGTGTGTGTACGAAAATACTCTCGTGGGAGCAGGGGGGGGGGGGGGGGGGGGGGGGGGGGTATATGTTGTGTTAATTATATCATATTATTATGCAGCACACATAAAGTATATTCCCGCATGCACATTGTTATGTTGTGCTGGTAGCAAATTCGCCATAATGCCTAATGAGGTAATAAGCTTTTAGGGCGCCGCCAAGTAACTTAATTTGAATGTGTTTCTTAACATTGCTTTTTTATTCTTAATTGAATTTGCTTCTCATAACTTATTACAGCAGCTCAGTTTGATTTTATATTGCTTTTTCCACAGTGATTCATTGAACCAAAATAACTTCCTTAGCTGACACTAAATTAAAAGTATTTTGTTCAATTTTGTGGAGCTTAAATTCCGAAACACACACAAATTAATGACATTTAATCGTTCTCTACTATATTTCCCGCTCGTTCTTTCGATTTCAGAATACTTCTCTAAATGCTATCGTCTGTTTTCTATACCTGAAACGAGTTCAAAAGAATTTAGAATATATCACCCATTGCCTTGCCTGCCTGTCAATCCTTTCGTTTGTTTGTCTATTAGGTAAATGCAGTAGTTTTTTTTTATGATCCGCAGTTGGACAGTTGAATGAAGTCATTTATCAATGTCACACAATCCCATTTTTCCCCGTTTGGCCATTAACAGACTTTCCACAGCATTGACAACTGTGAGGCACTGGGAGAGCCAGTTGTACCATGTCCTGCCTAACGAGTGTACTGCAGCTATTGCAAGTGCTGACAACGATTTCGGGCTGCAACATCTACAAATATGTGCCACAAAAGCAGACATTCCGGCTGAGCCCACAGTTGAATTTGGCTGTGGGAGTATGCCACGGCTTCTGGCTACGACCCTGGCTGTTGTCGATCTTTGTAATGTATTCGATATTCTTCACCTATGAGTTCGTAGATGTTTTGGTGAATTTGAATCCGGGCAGTGACAGTGCATTGAATATGTTCTACATGGCAACGCGTTTCTTTATGGGCAATAATACAATTTTAATTAGTTACTTTATTGCCTATTACTATATCTATCAGCGGCGGCAGCTGCGGGACTTGCTCAACGGATTTGTCCGGATATATTATAGATACAGGGGAATATGCGGCCAGGAGCCCACCATTAATTGGTGTTTCTTTGTCATACACATTGTTAAAATTGCTTCCGTGACCATGCGACAATCGCTACTCGACATGATCCCCTTCATGTCCAGTAGCTCGATTTTCTGTATTTTCTTACGCAGCTCGGGGTATCTTTTCGGCAGCATTCAGCCATTACTGATGGGCGTGACTGCCCACTTGGGTATTCTGATCCTTTACTCTTGCTACGTTCTGCCCCCATCCCGACCCAATCGACAGAAGTTGATCCAATTGATTGACTACTGCAAAAACCTGATCGAGTTGCGACGAAAGTTTGAGTCGCTCATCCGACCTCTGGTCTGGATCTGCATCATGGATGACTTTATCTTCTTTGTGGGCACACTCCATTTGTACTTGTATGAGGAGCGCATATTGGGTCTCTATTTCTACACTTTTGTATTGGCATTTTCCTATCCGCTGTGTTTTGTCTACATCAATCTGGCCATTGACTTTGCCCAAAGAGAGTTTGGACAATTTAAGAATAACTTCAAGCCCCAGCGTCAGGTGAGTGAGTTGAATTACATATTTACTTTTGGTTTTGTCTTAGCTTTCTTGTTATCAACAGTTGCAAATGTTTTGGCTCTACCGTTTGGCGCTATCAAACGGAGCGGACAAGAGCGAATTTAATGTATTTCGCTTAAATCGTGGCCACATCTTGCAGGTCCTCAGCACTGGCTGGACGTGGGCCATGTTTTCGAATAGCATTTACGTGAATAGTACAGAATTTCTGAGACATAAGGAGAGGGTTCGGGAAAAGCGGCACTAGTGGATTTTATATACAAAGTTCATAGAGAGATAGATTGATGATTTTCGAGAGGAGTTTTTTGTAATTTTTGACAATGAATTTTGTACTTTTGTAATCTTTGATATAAATATATGTTCCATACTATTTTGTCTGTAATTCTTTTTGTGGCTATTTCTTAGACTTCCAGTTCATATCGCAACTTTCAACTTCCAAGCTCCATAATTAAGTGTATTAAAAGCTTTGGCCTAACATCCATAAATACTTTAGTTTGCTAGCTCTCCCATAGCCCGTCTATTAGCTAAATGAGGTAGTTCTGGACAGTTGAACGAAGTCATTTTTCAACGTCACACAATCCCATTTGGCCACCCATATTTGTAGTTTGTGGAAGTTTGGTAATCAGTTCGATATGTCCTGTCTAATGTCCGTAAGCATTGCAAGCACTGACCACGATTTAGGACTGAACAATTTTCAAATATGTCCAACTCTCAGTTGAATTTTGTAGTGGGAATGAATCACAGATTCTAGCCTTGCCCTTCCTCCGAAATGAATGCCTTTCGCCTGAATCGTGGTCACATTCTGCAAATCCTCAGCCACGGCTGGCTATGAGCCATGATAAAAAAGATTTTTCCCATCATTAGACATTTTTCTAATATATAAAGTAATAAAAAAGAATCTCTTCAATCAAATTTGAAGTTGTTCACATAGTTGGCCCAAAATTACATTTTTACTCTTAAAAAAGTCCCACTGGCGGTACTCACCCCTCTTAAACTTATAGGCATACAGCTCGAGGACGGGAAAACCATCGTCAATAAACCGAACGACTTGCTGCCACTTCTCATCTTCCTGATTGCGTTGCAGGCCATCCAACTCGGGCAGCACTCTGCTCTCAATCTGCTTGGCATTCTTCAAGCTGGCATCGATTTGCCGTTCCATGGGAAAGCTGATGGTGGATGCATCTGGGGAGGCAGCCGGAGCTGCAGCTGCAGCTGCAGCTGGAGAGGCTGTGGCACTCTGCAGCAGCAGCAGCAACAGAAATGTTGCCACCGGCACTTGCAACATTTTGCGCGACATTCAAGTTTCGGGTTTCCCTTTTGCTTCCTTCTTGTTCGTTAGCAATTTGTGAAATTATTTTTAATTGCTAGCACTTTCAGCGAGTTATCCCCTTTGTTTTATTCGAGTTTTATGTTCTTCTAGTTTTTTCACTTTGTAGTTTTTTTTTTGTTTTTTTTGATTCAGTTTGGTTTTGTTTGATAGTTTTTACGGTACCACGAGTTTATTCATTTTCGTTTGTGTATAAGTTTTTGGGCCAAGCGAAGCTTTACATAATTGTCAAGTGCTGTGTCCGGGAGTGGAAGAAGAGAGGAGGCTTATACTTGAGCACACTATCAAAGGCGATTTTGATGAGTTTGCAAACTCTGAAGCTGATTGAAATTCAAGACATACCCCACCAGATTCAAGCTAGTGTTTTGTATGCAAATCATATCGCATTTTTCGTCTCTATAAAAAAGAGATATGTACATGAACTGCCTAGAATAGTTTGGCTTGGTTTCATCACGATTGGATTTACATTTGATTGCAGTCGGCTGCATATTTGGTTTTGAGGGAAAAGCCCTGCCAAGCGATAGGGTGCTATGGTCCCTCCCTTACTATCTTGATAAGATGCAAAATAAATGGTAATCAAGAATAGCCGTAGTTAAATTTTGCACACTCCTCCTTCAGTCGTGATCCTCTTTTGTTGGATTTTATTTTAAATTTGCATATAAATCGTGTCTACTTATATAGTAAACCATCATATGAGACAATTTGCTTATTTGCTGACCTCTGCGCTCGGATCTGATCGCATACAAGGCTGCTCGCCTCAGTCGGTTGGCGGCATGTGTTGACATGCACAGATACAAAGATACGATAATACAGATACAGATACAGATACAGATACAGCAGCAGATACCAACACAACTGTCAGATATGTGAAGAAAGTAAATTAATTTCAATTAAAGTTGACAAAACTAAACGGCAAACTACGGCGTAAATAAATCCAGCAAAAGAGGAGAGCACACAAACACTTGGCGGCAACTAAAACTAATCAAAGCAACTAGCAGAAAAGCTTCCACGAAAAATGTACACATACAAAAAAATTGCACTCTTGGGATGACTTCCTTTTTTTGATTCGGATCCCAAATGGATGGTCAGTATGTTTCTATTGAATTTTATAATATTCTTAGAATAAATATTTAGCTTGCTGTTTCACCTTTGGCGCGCATTTGGCGTACTGAACTGAACTCAACCGAACCGAACCGATTCCCGTTTCATACTGCGGACCTGTGGACCTGTGGGTCTGAGCTCTGGCTCTGGCTCTGGCTCTGGCTCCGGCTCTGGGCATTGGGGTGGGCGAAGCGCCCGACTGGAAGACCAGAAACAAGAGACTATGGCAGAAGCAGAGGACAGAAGGCAGAGAAAAACGGGCTCAGCGTATGCCCACTGGGAAATGGGATGGCACTGCCCCAAGAGGGAACCTGTTTCTCAGGCAAGCTAGGGAATGATGGAATTCTGAGGGATATATATTTGTTTTTTTTGGAATATTATAGCGAAAGTTTCTGCAGGTTTTCACGCACTTTGCGGAAACTGTAATTATTGTTTACTGATACCCTAGAAACTATTTTAGATGGAAGATAGATTCTCAACAAGAAAGTAAAGCTTCTTAATTAGGCATGGGAAATATATATATCAATGGGAGACAAAATCCTGACAAAATGTATACAAATTTCAGCCATTATTTTTCATATTTTGTGTTATAAAAAGGCAATGATTTTCCCATTCCATAACGAGAAAAACAATTTCCTTCTTATTCATATTCCGTGTGCATTCGCCACTGGGCATTTATCACTTATCACAAACGCTCATTATTCATGATTATGCTTTGACTTTTGTGCAAAATTGTGCAACTACCGCCGCCGCTCGACGCTCGATGCTCGACGCTGTCCCGGCTCACATGGAATGGATGGGTGTCTGTGGTGTGGTCTGGTTCGTCAGTGGTTCCCCATTATTGTGGAACTCTACAGAGTCTGTTCGCGAGTCCGTCTGCCTGTCAGTCCCATCGGTCGGGAAGCAATTGCTGTGATTGTGCTGACGGGGGGCTGTGCCGCTGAGCTTTGCTCTCCCGGTGGCCACAGACTGACTGCTGCACCATATAAAAGTCGTCTTGCCTTATTCCAAGTCTGAATTTTTGGCTTCACTTCCGATGTCTTCCCTCTGCCTTATAAGCTATATAATGAGAGTCTCGTGCAAGTAATTTTATGTTTCTCCCTCACTGTGGGTCTCTGAAAGCAAGTCTGCCGGCTCGGTCCACGTAATTGTAATTGATATTATGGTCATGTGGAGACTTTATTTTTAGTCAGCTTTTAATAAGCGACAATCGAGCTGCATTTCGTATGGGTTGGAGGTTTTCATTTTATATCTTGATTAAATTTTGTGTTTTTATCGTTCCACTTTTTGTATGTTAAATTAAATTAATAGTTGAAAGATTGTAGATTGTCCAGAAAAACTGAAGATGTGTAAATACGAGTTTCAGGATATTAATCAAGATTTTTTTTAAATAAAACGAAAAATACGAGAAGTATTTCTGACTTTATAAATTGTTTAATCTGATAAGTTAACATTTCAATAAATGTTTGAAAAATAATAGTGACTTATTTTAAGTAACTTTAAGCAAGGAAAATTGCTTACAGGAACTGCCAAGATTCGGTGTCGAATAGATTAGAAAATATTCTGACAACTCTTTAATCACCAAATTAATTGAGTTTCAGGAACTTCCCGGTGAGAAATCAACAATTAAAGCAAATGTCAAACATCTCCCAGGTGCTGCATTTACCGGGTGAACTTATAACAAAGTTGAGTGAAGTATTTATAAAATTAGCCGCTTTAATGTGAGCTAAAATTACTTGTAATTGGCAGCTGTGATAGTTTCAGAGCACTCGCCCTTCCATCAACACGAGCTTTTCCCCCAGCACAGTTTTTAATTACATTTTCACGTAAAGCTTGCGCTACGTGTTTGCCAGCTGCTTTTCTTTCTCCGCCTCTGCTTTGTGTGCACATTGACTGCATTCCTGTATGATTAAAAAATTCTTGGGAAAACTATGCTCATACATAGTTTTATCCCTCAGAAAAGCCGGTAAATCAAGCCAGACACGCACACACTTGTTATGGAGTCATATATTCATATGTGGGCTGAGAAAATGGCCAGGAGGGCAGGGCAGTGGGAGTGGGATCAGGTACTGGGCAAAGGCATTACCACCTGCCAGGGAAAACTTTGCCAAATTTATGTATACGAAAAAAACAGGAAGACTACAGCTACAGATATGTACTAGTGATAGTACTACGACTACTACTACTACCACTTCCACTACTACTACGAGTAGTACAGCGTACTACGGAGTGGTATACGAGAATACTTTGGTGACGAAGAGCAACAGAGCAGCAGGAGCCGCATACAGAATGCTGTATACAGAGTGCAAACCAATTGAAATTAATTTGCATAATATAAATCTGGACATCCAGCAATAGAATGGAACCGAATCCAGGCCCAATTCCCCACCCAGGGGACTCGAGCCGCACGATGCACACGCCGTTAATTCTGGGATTATTCACAGTTTATTGCACTTAGTTTTTCTTGCACACAAAAGTCTTTTCTCATTCCATTGCGATACCCCGTTCCTTTTTTTTTTGACAGTGACTTTTCGCAGCTATTCCTTTTCCTTCCTTCCCATTGATTGAATTTCTCGTTTGTGTGTTTGTTTCTTTCACATTATCTTTGGCGAGTTTTGCTTTAATTAGATTAGTGGTTTGTTTGCTGCGGATTGTTTAACTGTTCTACTGAAATGTTTTACTTGTTTCACTGGAAATTTATTATCCGCTCGCGCGGCTCTCTCTCGGCTAATGTTGCGTCTGTTGTGCCGGAAAAGTGTCGACAAACGAGAAGCTTTTTCTTCGGTTGCGCCGCTTTTGGGGGTCTCCTTGGTTATTGGCTAGGGTTGTCAAGCTGCTTGAGGACTCTTGTAAGTCGAAGAGTAGTAAACGAAGGCAGGTTAAATTATTCTAAAAAGTATATTTAGTTTATTTATAAAAAATATCTATGTTTTTGTTTATCAACTTGCATTTTTGTATAT